AGTGTTCCATCTCATTTCCCTTTGGGGTTGCTGTAGGTGATCTGGAAGTCTGGTTTTGAGACTTATTTACATGTTTTCTCATTTTGACTTGGGTGGGCTGTTGGTACCTGCACAGATTACCTCCTCTGAGCTGGAAGAGGTGGGAAAGGGGCCAGGAGCAGTGGTAGAGATGGTGACCCAAAAGCCCTTTCCTGTGGGCTGGGAGCAGTGGGAGGGATGTTGGCCAGGAAGCCCCTTCCTCTGGACCAGGAGCAGTGGGATGGTGGCTCAGAAGCCCCTACCTCTGGGCTGGGATCGGTGGAAGGGATGGTAGCCTGGAAGCCCCTTCCTCTGGGCCAGGAGCAGCGGGACAGAAGGTGGCCCAATAGCCCTTTCCTCTGGTCTGGGAGCAGTGGGAGGGATGGTGGCTGGGAAGCCCCTTCCTCTGGACCAGGAGCAGTGGGACGGTGGCTCAGAAGGCCCTACCTCTGGGCCGGGAGCAGCGGGACTCAGTACGGTGGTCTGGTGATCTGGTGTCCTCTGCGTCTTTGTAGTGTGGAACCAGGTGGCTGTATAGAGGAGCAGGGTCGGGAGGGGTCCAGTGGATTGTTGCCGGGGCGCGGGCTGATTCGGTGTGTTCCATGTGATTCGGGACCTCAGTAGGGTGTGCGCAGACCTGCCTGTCTGCAGCAGGCTGATTCCAAGTTAGTTACTTTTTAAGGTTTTTTTTTTTTTTTTTTGGGTACCAGGGATCGGATTCAGGTCCTTGGGTTTGCGAGGCAGGCGACGAAACCACTAAGCTAAATCCCCTGCCAAAAGGTTGTTTTGAGGATTAAAGAATGTATATGAAAGTATTTCAGAGTACCTTTGCAGCTTGTTATCATCATTATTATTGGTTGTTACGTTAGGTAAGTATGTTCAGATTTTTCATTATGTGTCCTCCTTCCAAAATGAGGGTAGAGTTGGGGTTGTCCTGGGTGCCTTACCCTGAGTATTAGATGCAATGGTAACGTGTGCATACACGCAGAGCCTGGTACACACGAAGCCCTGGGAGAAGCTTCGCTCAGTTTTATGTTAACTGCTATTGTTGCCTTTTAAAAAAAAAGTTGAAGTGTTTTTATTTTTAAGTCATCATAGAGAATCTTAAGTAGAATTCAAGCTCTATTCTGTGACTTTGGCACTTGGATTAAGCACTTCATGCTTTAGTTTCCTTAAGTCTCATAGGAAGGATAAATGGAGCTTGTACACCTAATTCAGGGTTTTATTATTATCATTTTTTTTTTTTGGTGTTTTAAAGAGTCACACAGAAAGCATCAAAATGGACTGGTAAATAGAGTTGCATTGTCTTCTTAAACTTTTTAGAACAAAATATATGTTCCAAAATTTATTTGTGGAACGATCAGAGTCAGTTTCTAAAGGCAGCACGGATACCTTGTGAGCATCATTCTTGGGACAGCGAGTGACACCTGCTGCTGCTCACTGTCCCGGTAGAGTCCCCTCATTTCCTCGCTGTCTCTGGAGCTTGGCTAACAGCAGGGACTCATCAAATCTGAAAGTCAGTGTGAACCAGAGCTTGTGTGTTACAGAAATACAGCATTCACTTGTGTAACTGTGTAGGAGAGCTATGTATAGGAGAGGTCAGGACAACAGAACACATCGACTATGGGTCACAGTGCAGCCTGTCACCATGGCTTTGTGGTTCTCAGGGCTGCTGTACATTTGTAATGCTTGGTATATTTGCACAACTGCTCTGGGGTACAGTAACTGACACTAAAATAAATGCAACATACATTCTTTTTCAGATTTACCAAAAATTTATCTCCTGACAAGATAAATCTAAGTACCCTTAAAGGAGAAGGTGAATTGAAGAATCTGGAGTTGGACGAAGAGGTGCTTCAGAATATGTTAGATTTACCCACATGGCTTGCTATCAACAAAGTTTTTTGTAACAAAGCATCCATTAGGGTAAGATTTTGATATCTGTGGAGGGACTTTTATGTTTTCATTTTTTATTTCATCTCTATCTTTTGAAATAAATACTGTGTTTTAGATAATTCTATAAAGAAACATTAATGTAATTCAGAAAAAATCTGCATAAGTGCTTATGACTATTTTGAATGTAATTGAAGTCATTAATATTTTAATAATTTGTAGATTTCAATTTTGTTTAAAATTTAATTTTATTAATCTTTTAAGTAAAATTGTCAATGTGTTAGTAATAAAATAATTGCTTCATTTTGGCACATATTCAAACATAGGTTTTTGTGGGGTTTATTGTCAAATGGGAGTATTTCAAATGACATAACTTATGTCTTAGAGTACACATTATACTTTTATTAGTGATTTTAACCCTTTTCCTAATTTATTTCATTGTCGCTTTGAGGAATTTTAACTTTATTGACTCATTATTGTTAAATCTACTTATTGTGAATTATTTTAATTTTTACTCTTACATGTCAAATTGTATAGCTTAATTACTTTTAAAGACTGGGCTTAGTTTGAGAGTCTGCTTAGTAATAATACTGCATGGTAATTTTTTTCATAAAATTAAAATTTGGTTTTCTGAGAAAAAATTATGTAAAGTTTCCTATTCCTTTGATGCTCTCCTTCCATTTTGGTTCAGTCTTCCATAAACTCCATATCTACATAGACTTGACATTTTAGCATTTGAACATTATTTAATATTGCCTATACTTTACATTAATGGCCTTTTGTGTTCGTTTTGGATATCTACAAAAATACTGGTCAGAATTCTAGGGTTAAACAAATTGCTAAATGAACAGATTAGTGACTATGTTTGGCTGGGAACTCTTTTATTTTTATTTTTATGTATTTACTTTTTTTGAATTTTTGAGACAAGACCTCACTATGGAGTTCAGGCTGGCCTAGAACTCACTGTGTAGTCCAGGCTGGCCTCAAACTCAGAGATCCTCCTGCCTCAGGCTCCTGAGTGCTGGGATTATCAGCACACACAACACCATGCCTGGCTCTAGGAACTCTTTTTTTTTTTGGTACCAGAGATTGAACTCAGGACCTTGTGCTTTCGAGGCAGGCGGTGGAACAACTGAGCTAAATCCCCGGCCCTAGGAACTCTTAAATTAATATATTAAAATATATTTTAAGGACTTGGAAAAATATAATTGAAAGAACTTGAAATTTTTATTTAAACAGTTGGTTGAGAAAATATAGCTGTTCAATTTATTTTGCAATTTAAGAGAAAATTCATCTGATAGAATTTGATGTTTGTCACTAGAGCATCTGTTGATTACTGTCTTATATTGCTTTTTAATAATTCATTTTAAAGAAAAAATATTTATTTGTAGATCCCATGGACAAAACTGAAAACACATCCTATCTGTTTGGTAAGTTCTGAAACCACTTCAGAAATAAGCATACGTATATGCAAATTGTCTCTACTCCTGTTTCATGGAAATGATTTTCTGACCACTTCCTTTTATTTTGGTTGGACTTAGCTTTTTCTGCCCTTATGTGACAAGTTTGAATTTCAAAATAAGGAGATATTTAAGGTTTTTTAGGTGTAGAACAGTGATGGGTGAACCTTTTAGAGCTTTCAGTGATACAAACAGTGCACTATGGCACACATGCCATAGGTTCACCACCGCTGGTCTAGAACATCATGTTCAAAGTTGGTGTATTTTATTGTCACTTAGCTCTTTTTTTGTTATTGTTAGTGGATTGCACCCAAGGGCTGACACATGCTAGGCAAGCATTTTACCACTCAGTTACATCCCCAGCTCTTTTCATTTTTTTATTTTGAAATAAGTTCTCACAAGTTGCCCAGGTGGGACTTGAACTTGCTATCCTCTGGCTTTAGGCGCCCAAGTGCTGGGATTATAGGGAAAGTGTGCACCGCTATGCCCACTTGTATCATTTAACTCTTTATTGGCGTACTGTGGAATTGTTCCTCTAATAACATTTGTTCCAGACTTTCTGTGTTTTTGCTGATACTGAAATAATGAATTAAGTACTATGTTCTTTACTGTACCTCACCCTCCTCTCCCCCACCCCGTTCTGGGGATCGAACTCAGGACCTTGCACTTGCCAGGCAGGCATGGCACCGCTGAGCTAAATCCCCAGCCTGTATTTCACTTTCTAAGGAAAATTGAGAATTGATCATTTATTGATTCATTTATTCTATCTTTGTTTTTGTGGCAATTTTGGGGGCTGTGAGCATGCTAAGCACAAGCTACCCTGAGCCTCTACTCTGTACACTATTCCATAAATATTTGTTGATCACCTGCATTGTACCCTGAGAAGACTTATATTTTAATACAGACTGATTGAACAAGTATATAACTAAGACACTGCAATTTCAGACAATAATAAATATGTATATGAGGTGGAGAATGAAGAATGACTATAGTTGTGTTAGTGATAAATACCCAAAGACATTACATCTTTCTTCAAGAAAAAAAAGTTTTTTTTTCCGAAAAAGACCTTTACCACTATGGAAGAGTTTATTTTTTCATATTTCTTACTTCATAATTTTCTTAATTTTATGTCTAATGTATCAGGTTTTAGATTAGGATAAGCTTTTTAGGGGTGGTTCAATATTATTTATATATAATTTTTTAATTCATAGTGTAATACTTTGGAGATTGGAGACTTTCATAAAATTTGATCTTATCAACGAATGGCTATATTTGAATTTTTTCATATTCATAGAATATGCACAACTTTCCTACTAGATAATAAATGACTTGAGATAGGGCTGAGTGCTTTGTTTTCCATTTTTTGGCATTTGTCTTTTTAAATTTTTAGAGGCATATTTAAAATTACTCTGCTTACTTACTGTGTACTTTGCTCCTGTGAAAAGAATCTTAAGTATACTTCCATAATATATAATAAAATACATGATAAAATAAGAAATGTTTATATTATTAATATTTTTATTAGTCTCTAGATAAAGTAATAATGGAGATGAGTACATGTGAAGAACCTCGAGCTCCTAATGGCCCATCACCAATTGCAACAGCTTCAGGACAAAGGTAAGAAAGGTTTACATTATTCTGTGTGGCTGGGTGTCAAAGGGAGTTTTTTTTTTAGCTGTTATCTGCAGCAACAGGACATAAAATTAAACCTCTTAACCACAGTCTCTTTCAGTCACTTGTCCCATCAAACATTTTAGAGGTTTAGTTGTATACATTGCAGAAGTAGCCAGGTGTGATGGTGCATGCCTATAATCTCAGCACTCGGAAGGCTGAGGCAGGAAGATCGCCGTGAGTTCGAGACTAGCCTGGGGTACATAGTGAGTTCAAGGCCAGCCTGGACTACACAGCAAAACCCTGTCTCAAAAAAAAAAAAAAGAAAAGTAGCAGAGATTTTTAAACTTCTTTTGTTCATCTTGGTTTCTTTACTATTAAGTAGTAATGACCAACCAAGTAATGATTAACCATGGTTGCAGCAGAAAATGGAAGCAAAAGAGTTTAGACATTCTATAAATCAGATAGTCTCTTAGTTTCTGAATACAGCAGTTCTCCCTTGTCAGTTCACTTTTCGTGGCTTCAGTTACCTGTGGTCAGCTACAGCTCAAAAATATTACATGGAAAATTCCAGAATTAAACAGTTCATTAATTTTTAAATTTCATGATATGAGTAGCATGAAATCTTGAGCTATCCATCCAGGGGTGGGAATCATGCTTTTGTCCAGTGCATCTGTGCTGTATAGACTACCTGCCCACTAGTCACTTAGTAGTTGTCTGGATTATCAGATTGACCATCTGGGTATCAGTGCTAGGTTCAAGTAAGCTTCCTGGAGAGTCGTGGAACGTTAAGTCACATACCTAAGTTGCTTGCCTCACTTAATCTTACCATGTAGGCATTGTTTCATCTCACATTATCAAAAAAGAAGGATGCATACACTGGAATAAAATATTTTTCTATTTTAATATTAATATAAGGTATGATCAAAATACATTTAATTTTAAAAAATTATTACAGTAAAATACACATTAATCTCCCTCAAAATACTTCTCACCTCAAGCACATATCTCATCATTCCTTCCACTTTCTTTCTTTTTTTTTGATACCGGGGATCCAACTTGGGTCCTTGCGCTTGCGCAGTTGGCAGCAAAACCACTGAACTAAATCCCCGGCCCCCTTCCACTTTCTTAACCAGATCTGGAAGTTCTCTTTTGTGGGTCTTCAGTTAATGCTGCCGTGTCTGCCTTTATGTTCTGAATTGATTTAAAATATTTGCCTTCTACTGTCATTTCACTTTAGAAAAGAGCCAGAAGGTGCACAATGCCAGATCTGGAGAATAAATAAGATAAATGAAGACACACCTTAATGTTTTTACCAGCCCGCCTTCCTGTTGGATGGTATAGGGCAGCAGCATTCACCATATTTTTGATCACACCTCATAAAGGCACCTAGGATTCACCTTTCTGCTTGGACTTAGTGACATGACCTGAAAGTGTAGGCTCCAGTCGCTGACTTAATTTCCACCTCTGAATGACAGGTTCTCCAGTATGGATTGTAACGTTCATTCATTCATTCAGTTTTGATGCTGGGTGTTGAAGTGCATGCTGGGCCTGTGCTCTCTCACTGAGCTGCATACACTCCCAGGCCCATCTGTTCTAGTGCTGTGTGCATTCAATGTTACAATCAGGCTGGTGGTGTAGCTGAGTGCTAGGGCACATGCTTGGTATATGTAAGGTCCTGGGTTCAGTACTCAGTACACACACACACACACACACACACACACACACACACACACTTCAAATATGGTTGGCTTTTTTCAAAAGAGATTTCCACATAATTATTATAGCAATGTTTTTTCCCCCCTCTAGGAATATTTCTATCTTAAGTAATGAGTATTTGTCCTTCGGATCAAAGCAGCTCTACTCTAGGATGCTGATGAGCTCTTCCTCTTCATTTCTTAATTTTCTAAGTGATGAGTAACTGGCCACTTTGCTTTATAACAAAATTACCTGAGGCAAACAAAAGAATATGTAAATTACTATGCAGACATCATTTCACTTAAGGGTAACAGTAACCTTTTGAGGCAGATATTTTTATACATGAAGAAACTGAGGCTTAGAGACTTTCAGTATTTTAGCAATAAATCATTACTTCTGATAATAGTTACACTATAAAGTATTTGTTATGAGCTGATAGTCTACTTGGCTAGGCACTATTTCATGTAATTACATATAAAGTATTACTTATTTAAAAGATGAGTTATCAGGCACATCTAGACAGATGCACACCTGTAGTCTCAGCCACTCGGGCTGAGGCCAGAGGATCATTTGGGCCCACAAATTTGAGACTAGCCTTGGAAACATAATTAGACCCTACCACAAAGAGCGAAAAAAAGGGAAAGAAAGATAAAAGAAGAGTCTCTGCTATTTGTAAACTCAACAACAGCAAAATGAGTTATCAGGCTTAGAAACTTACATAATTTCTTCATTAACATAGTAGATGGGAAGGGGGATGTGGCTAACGGGCTCAGTCTCAGGCATGTTGTGAGGAGCTCAGATGGAGATACCCAGCGGGCCTCTGAGTTGTACAGTCTGAAGCCAGAGATCTGGATAGACAGAAACGTATAAATGATGGGCAGATTGGTGGGGACTGAAGTAATGTGCCCTTTGGGCAACTTCTTCCTTCCCTTCCTGCGAGTATATATGGCTAGGTACTGTGATACTCCTTCTGCAGTGCGGGCTCTCCTTTCTGCTGCTCTGTGCCTTTGCTCATGCTTTCTTTCCCCTGTTGTAAGAGTTCTCTTCCTTTGCCCATCTTTCTGTGGAAAGATGTATGCCTCCCTAGTTAGAAGCAGTTTTTTTCTCCCATCAAGAATCCTGTTGAGCCAGGTGTGGTGGCTCACGCCTGTACCGAGAGTGTTTGAGCCTGGGCTACACAGTGAGTTCAGAGCCAGCCTGAACTTAAAGGAGGACCCTATGTCCAAAAAAAAAAGGATTCTGTTGATTCCTTTTTAAAGTTCTCGATTACAGATTGACTCAGGTTACCAGGATATATATATATATATATTTTTTTTTTCTTCCCTAAATAACTTGCGAGCCCTGTAATGCTATAACCAAATTTTGATTTTCTTTATGTCTCAGTATCATTCATGTGCAATAATTAAATATGTATTGAATTGAATTAGAAAATGTGAATTTTTTTTTTTAAATTATGACATATTTTGGGCTAGGAATTTAGCTCAGTGGTTCCACTGCCTGCCTCAAAAGCACAAGGTCCCAAGTTCTATCCCCAGTACCCCCCCCAAAAAATTATGACATATTTCTGTTAAACTTTTTAACCTTCTTTGTGTTAAAATTTAGCTTTCTTATTTGCTTTATAGATGTTAACTGACGGTGGCTTTTTGAGGGTAAACAACTGATTTAAAAGAGACCAACTTCTAATTTTTTAAATCTTTTACAATTTGAGAACTTTTGGGGCCCAATGCTGGGGATTGAACCCAGGGGCTCCCACGCGCTAGGCAAGTGCTACACCACTAAGTACATCTCCAGCCTGTTTTATTTTTTGAGATGTCTCTTCCTAATTGCCCAGGTGACCTTGAACTTGCAACCCTACTGCCTCAGTTCTCCCAGTTGGCGGGATTGCAAGTGTGTGCCATTACACCCAACAAAAACATGTCTATAAATTAACATATAACCAGTCTAGATTATCGTTTCAGCAACAAATTTGTAGTTTTTAAAAAACAAAAATGAGTAATAAAATAGTAAAGCAGTTTGTATGTGTACTTGTGTGAGAATATTAACAAATAACTTTTTCTCGTAATGATTTTTTTTTTGTTGGCTTTAGTACATTGTATTTTGTTTTGCTTTGTTTTCCCAGTGAATATGGCTTTGCTGAAAAAGTAGTTGAGGGAATTACTGTTTCTGTAAATTCTATTGTCATCAGAATTGGAGCAAAAGCTTTCAATGCGTCCTTTGAACTTTCTCAGCTGCGAATCTATAGTGTCAATGCAAAGTGGGAGCATGGAGATTTAAGGTTTACTCGTATTCAAGATCCACAGAGAGGAGAAGTAAGGATTTTTTTTCTTTTTAAAGTTTTAGTGATAAAACAAAGACTTTTAAAAGAATTACATCTTGTGGCTGGCTGTATTCACATACTGCTAGATATCTTCATCTTGCCTTATAAATGCGCCTTTCTCTGTGTTATACTTAATCATGTAATTATAAAATGTGCATATTTTAATGCTTTTCCTTTATTAAATTTTTACTTTAAGAATTAATGATCTCTTTTAATTTCTCATCTACTTAACTGAATTTTAAATTTATAAGACTAAAATACGCTTTTTGGTAACATTACTCAAGTGATTTTTATACTGTATGTGAAGTTTCTTAGAATAAAAAGATTAAGTTTAAAAATGATGAATATAATTATTAAGATATGTTACTGAATCTGATGGAAGTTTTATAATTAAAAGCTGAATGATGAATATTTTTAGAATGCCATGAAAGTTGAGAAGATGCCTTCTTTTTTTATAAATTCACATTTTTATCATTTTATTTTACATGAGTATGTGATGCTAATCTCCATGTTCTCTTAGGTTTTGACATTTAAAGAAATAAATTGGCAGATGATTCGAATAGAGGCAGATGCTACCCAAAGTTCACATCTTGAAATTATGTGTGCTCCTGTTCGATTAATAACCAACCAGTCAAAAATCCGAGTCACACTTAAAAGAAGAGTAAGTCATCCTTAGCTTTTTCACTCGTTAACTATTAGACTTGGTAAGAAATTTTAGATAACTTTTTTGGCAAAATATTAGCATATTATGAGTGGCATATTAAAACAATACAAAATAAAAGGAAATATAATATTTTAAGCAATATTTATAGAAAGCCAATATAATTATGATTCTTCTATTTTTCAGATTTAATGTGAACATTTTCAAAATTTTTATTTTTGATAAATTGAATAGATTCCTCAGTTGTCCAATATTTGTTGAAATTTTCTCTCTTACAATTTTATTTCTGGGGCTGAGAGAGTAGCTCAGTGCTAGAGTGCTTGGCTAGCATGTGGGAGGCCCTGGGTTCAATCCCCCAACACTGCCAAAAAAAACCCCCCTAAAACAAAACAAAACAAAACAAAAAGTGCAGAAGAAAAGTAATTTCATTTCTATTAAATCTTGCTTAAGAATAAATAAACAGCATAGCCTTAATAATTGAAATCTAAATCTTAGCATTAGTAGTAATTTAACTATGATTGGTAATTTAGATAAATTGGAATGATGATCAGTTAATGTTTCAGAACTTGAGATTCACTATGGCTTTGATGAAATTTAATGAGGAAGTGATGGTGGCTTTTAAACAGGCTTCAAAGAAAGACTCAATGATAAGCTTTGTATCGCTAGGTATAAACAACTATTAAATTGAAAAGACTTTTTTCTACATATCGTCCTTAACATAGATAACCTGAAATGTGGATAAAATACCATTTTTAGGGTTTAATTAATTTCAATGCCCCTTTCTCTGCCAGAATTAGTCAAATTAATATAGGTAATTATATGAGCTGTCACCTATACATGCAAAATTATGTTAGGTGCTGTGTAACTTGTACTTGTTAAAGTACAGGATTTGTCAATTTTTTATTACTACTGTTATATCAGTACTAGGAGATAATCTTCTGTTATAGAAATTCAATAAATATTTGTTGAATGAAAGTATCCTTATTTGATTCTATTAAAAACTTTAAGCTTTTATATAAACACAAGTGCATTATAATTTTATTCTTAACATACTTTTATAAATCTTTTTTCTAACAGTTAAAAGACTGCAATGTCATAGCAACAAAGTTAGTTCTAATATTGGATGATTTATTATGGGTTTTAACGGATTCACAGTTGAAAGCTATGGTACAATATGCAAAATCTCTTAGTGAAGCAATAGAAAAATCAACAGAACAAAGGAAGAGTATGGCTCCTGAACCTATACAGGTAAGCTGTAGATTAAGAGGAAAAACACTTACTTTTTGGGTAAATAGTTTAAAAACCAGAGTGACTAGTTGTTTTCTTTATATGAAATTGATTTTAAGACTGAGACCAAAAATTTTCTTTATCTAGATATCTTACTGTATAATTATATATATATTTAATATCTATATGAAAAAACTACATATGTTAGTATTGGATAGTGTTCATTTTGTTTAGAGTTCTGTACTAAGGACTAGTTATTGATGACATAAAAGTATTTGATGTTATAAGACATCTTTTCAGGAAGCTAAAAAATACAATTTAAAAAACTCTGAAGTAAAAGAAAATGTGAATAACACCTGGGTAATTATAGGCATAGGAGGGCGTGTTGAGAATTGATAGCACAGAGAACTAAAATCATAGGGCATTGCTGAAGTTGAAAACAAAACTTCTGTTAGAATTTTCTAGTGGCTGGGGCAAAAAACAGGGAAACATAATGAGCTATTATCACTTTCTTAAAATCAGAAGCATTCCTGGTTTGTCTAAAAATGTTTGCTTTCTCAGTGTTAATTTCTGAGTGAAGCATATGAAGATCTTTGTATTTATTTATTTATGTTTTGGTACTGGGGATTGTGAGGCAGGCGGTGGAACCACTGAGCTAAATCCCGGGCCCATGAAGATCTTTGTAGAAAGGACATGGGAAACCCCAGTGGGTACTGTCTTTGATAATTTTATTGAAAGTACAAGTAAATTTCTTATATCTGCCTCTACTAAAAACTTATCAGATACTATAAAATCATACTTCTGTGAAGCGTTTTTGGGATATAACAGTCATGTCAGGTACACAGCATGTTGTGATCTCTCTGGGTTGGTACATGGGAGTGGCATGCATTTGAGGCTTCTCACGGCTGTCATTGGCATTTCATTGGCATTGTTCACTGCCACCTGTTATGACATAAGGCACAGAGGTACACATTTTAATGTGAAAATAAGGGTCATCTGATCCTGCCTTCAGGGACCTCAGAATGTAATGGGAAGTGAAATATAAAACAGATATTGTAGTTCAGTGTAAATGGAGGCGTAAAGAAATAAAGGAAGGGAGAAGGAGGAGCTATAAAAGCCCAGAAAAGTTTTAATTGTTTGCAGAGTCTGGAAAGGTTTTACAGAGAGAACAATGAGATTGTGACTTAAAAAGAAGCAACACGGGCCGGGATTTAGCTCAGCGGTTCTGCCACCTGCTTCACAAGTGCAAGGTCCCGAGTTTGATCCCTGGTACCAGAAAAAAAAAAAAGAAAAGAAAAGAAAAGAAAAATGAAAAACAAACAAAAAAAAGCAACACTTCGGGCTGGGGATTTAGCTCAGTGGTTCCGCCGCCTGCTTCGCAAGTGGAAGGTCCCGAGTTCAATCCCTGGTACCAAAAAAAAAAGAAAAGAAAAACAAAAAACAAACAAACAAAAGCAACACTTCACAGGCAGACATGAAAGAAGATATCAGAAGAAATCGAATTTGCAACAGATGATATTGTTAAAGAACATGGGATTTTTCTAACAAATATAAAGAGTTTGGTGTTGTGAGGATATATTACAACTTTCCAAGTTTTATGTTTTAAGGAGATCAGTTTCAACAACTTCCAATTTGATAGGTGCTTTTTCTTTTTCTTTTTTTTTTTTTTTTGGTACCAGGGATCAAACTTGGGACCTTGCTTGTGCTTGCGAGGCAGGCGGCGGAACCACTGAGCTAAATTCCTGGCCCCAAATGTGCTTTTTCTTAAACTTGATCTGAGAATGTACTTGCCTTTAGATGTCAAACTGGTCCCTCCTTCCATAATGCTCTTACTCTACTTTACAAATGAAAAGTGTTCTTCTTACTCATCCTTAGTCTAGAATGGATTTGTCTAGGGAGAACAAACATGCTGGGAATAAGACAGGCAATTTGAAGTATGGCTGTTCTGTTGGAAGTTGATGACTAATGACAACAAGTCACACGATTTCCATTTCTTTGTTTTGAACACATCTGAAGGAGAATCTAATAATTATCAGCTGTTACATTATTAGAAATAATTTTATATTATAGGGCACATTATGAGTCCTAGTACACAAAATACATATACTTTGGTTTCCATAAATATGTTTTATTAATAAATTGCTCTAACTTTGAAAGTTGTTAATTTTTTTAAGTGCAAGATTTGGTCTTCATTTTGATAATTATTACAAAAGTTTCATGTTCAGCTCTGTGGCTCCTGTATCCTTATCTCACAGCAAATGTGTATGTACATCCCCAGTGCACACTTACATACTCATCCTAGGTTATCAGAGCTTCATCTATGTCCTCACATTTCAACCACATTCTATGCCCTTTCTTGGGAGAAGAATACCTGAACTCAAAACCTTCTGCTTTCTGGTTACTTCAGCTACCTAAGTGGAGAGGACACATTGCATCTTTTGTAAGGCATTAGGCCACTTACAGAGTTAAATTAATATTCCAAATGCTCCTATAACACAATGATTTTTTTTGTATAGGACATGTCATAGTATATACAGGGCTTACAGTTATTTTCTTCTTAGTATTAGAACTAATATTTAAGTAAGCTGCCTTTAACATTAATAATTATATTATCTAAAATATGGGCCATAAGTATGTTAATATGACTACTCAAATATTTACTGAAACATTGGGTTCATATTCAAATTGTATATAATTCTCCAGTTTTAAAATTTTAGAATTTATATAATACAGAAAATATTTTAGAGAAAAACTGAGTTATTGACAGAAATGTATTTTGCTAGATTTTATGATTTTATTACTGAAAATATTTAGGTGTGCTTGTGTGTGAAAGTTCACGTGTGTAAAATGCAGTGATGATGGAGTTTTGGGTGTTGTAGAGCTCCACAGTTACTCCATCCACCCAGCAAGTGAAGACACCACAGACTTCAAATGCTCCTGACCTGAATGATGCAATTGTGAAACTATTCAATGACTTTGATGTTAAAGAAACCTCCCATCATTTAGTGATTTCTCATCTAGATCTACACATATGTGATGATATTCATGCAAAAGAAAAAGGTATTAAAATGTTTATTTCAAAATATTTTGACTTTTCTAGAATTGACTACAAAACTAGATTATTTATACATGTATTACTGTGTGTAGTATTCTGTAATATAACTTATAATTTTATCTTTCATATGAATACTTAGATGGAATTCATAATTTGATGGAATTTATAATTTATATATTGGTAATTGCTTTTTTTTGGTACTGGGGATCGAACTCAGGACCTTGCGCTTGTGAGCATTGTATATTGGTATAAAATTTTATTTTGCTGAAATAATTAATACTTAAGCTTAACTAATTGTTACCTATCAGTGCTAACAGTAAAATTAAGTTAAAAAAAACACTCAAAGACAGTGGCTTCAGATGTAGCTCAGTAGCAGCAGAGTGCTTGCTTGCCTCATTGAAGCCATAGTCCTGGGTTCAGTCCTCAGCACTTCAAAAAATAAAGAAGCATAGACTAAATAGATGACATTTTTGGATGAAATATTAGACTTGCCTTTGAATTAATTAAAAAAAATTTTTAAATTGTTCATAAATTAAATTTTAGCCTATATTCTCTTCATAATTATGTACACATGTTTTCAGCGTTGTAGTTGACCTACCTGTTTCTGGATCCATGAACACATGAATACAACTAAAGACTCTTTAACATTGGTTTCCTCTGACTCATCCTCTCAAAATTTGGTTTGGAGTCTAAGTTCCAACTGGAAATTTAACTTTTTTTCTTCTAATTATTGTTCCTCATATTTATCCTTATTTAATGGACTCAGATTATCAGGCTAATCAGGAAGTTACTCCTGGTTACTTTAACAGTCTGTGGTTCCAGAATAGAGGATGCAGAAACAACCCCAGCCACATTTCAGCTATCTGATCTTTGACAGTGGGGCCAGAAACATACACTGGAAGAAAAATAGCCTCTTTAATGAATGGTGCTGGGAAAACTGGCTTTGCACATGCAGAAGATTGCATTTAGACCCATATCTCCCACCATGTACTAAACTAAAATCAGAGTGGATCAAAGATCTAAATATTAAACAGAAACAATCTGCTGGAAGATCAAATAGGTAAAATCTTGAAGACATAGGCATAAGCAGGAACTTTCTGAATAAAATACCAGCTGCAAAAGGAAACAACATCAGTATCACATCAAACTTAAAAGCTTCTGCACAACACAGGAAACAACCAACAGAGTGAAGAGACAGCTACAGAACAGGAATTTTTTGCCAGATACTCCTCAGAGAGAGGACTAATACTAGAATATATAAAGAACTCAAAAATTAGACCCCCCCCAATAAAAGACCCAATCAAAAACGGGCAACTGAAATGAATAGATACGTCTCAGAAGAAGTACAAATGGCCAATAAATACATGAAAAAGTGTTCAACATTTCTACCCATTAAAGAAGTGCAATTGAAGGAACACTGAGATTGCATCTTACTCCATGAAGAGTGGCCATCATCAAGAAATCAAGTAATAACAAATGCTGGTGAGGCTGTGGGGAGATGGGAAAGGCACCTTCTCCATTGTTGGGGGGACCCTGAACTGGTGCAGCCACTGTGGAGATCAGTATGGAGATTTCTCAGAAACCTAAACTAGAAATTTCATTGAGCCCAGCCATTCCCCTTCTAGGTATCTCCTTATAATATGATATTATATTATAGTGATCCATGCATACGCATGTTTATAGCAGCACAGTGCTTATGAAAGGATAAAGAAAATGTATTCATTCACAAGGGAGTACTACTGTGCCGTGAAGGACAATATTGTAGTCAAGGACAATGTTGTTTGCAAGGGAATAGATTTAATACAGGACACATAATTTATAGGATTATTTTATAATACTCACCCAAAAAATCAAATGCAGAGGAGTGCAAGACATCTGTCCACACACTGGAGACCTGAAGAATCCAGCTGGGGGCTGGATCCCACAGCAGTGTCCTGCACAAGTCTAGCTAAAGGCCTAGAGCCCAAGGCAGTGTCCTCTATGCACCCAGCCAGAGGCCTAGAGCCCATGGCAATGTCTCATGCAAGTCTATATCAAGAATCTGCACCTGGAAGGCCCAAAGGCCAGTGGTGGAAGTTAGAAATCCTGTGCCACCAGCCTGAGGGATCTGCATTGGAATCAGGAAGCAATGCTGAAGGCAAAGACCAGAGACCCCATGAGAGAACGGCAGCCACCCCGGCAGCAGCGAGGACCTGAGCTCTGACAATGACAACTGCCGAGTTTGTGTCAGGAAAACCAGCCGTGGCAAGCTTCTCCAGGAAAGTCAACAGCAAACAATCTTCCCGTCCAGTTCTCTGCATGGCGTTGGCAGCAGTCCTCCCCACCCAGAGCCATGCTGGCTCCGTTCAGCCTGATGTTCCAAGCTGACCGCTGGCCCATTCACCACAGACAGACTGGGGTCTTTTGTAGGAAACGGATGCACTTCAGGACCATAACGCTAAGTGAAGTAAGTCAGACACACAGGCTTAAATGTTTCAGAATTGCTCTTATATGAGAAACCCAGAGTATAAATAAAAAGCAAAGTAAGAGATGATAGGAAAGAGGGGTTGGATCATTTGCAAGAGGGAAGAGAACCAAGAGGTGGAGGATGTGGGGAGAGACTGGAGAGAAGGAGGATGAAGAAAGAATAAAGATGTGTCCCGCACGTGTACCAAGCCCCACAAGGAATGTGAACGTTGTATACCACAAGCATGGACTATAATAAAATTTACAATCAAAATTCAACTTACAGGCTAAAGAGTAAATGGGTTAGAGCTGAAGAGAAAATTATTTTAGTATATGTGCTGCTGAAGCGAGCACTGAAGGGAAAATTATTAAACTTGATGAAACTGAATAAATCTCATAGGTTGTAAGAGTGTAAGTAATAAAGAGAAGCTGGAATATAGGGAAGAATCTGTGGTCCCCTAGTCCAAGTGCTAGACATTTCTGTCTCTGTGCCGAGCACGCCCTGGGCTTGCACGTGTGGAGGGAGATCGATCGGCAGGCAGGCAGGCCTGCATGGAGAGCTGCGGTGAGCCTTAGAACCAAGCTAGGACCAAGAGCTTAGAAGGATAGAGGCATTGGACCCGTGTACCTCAGACCTGACCGGAGTCTGCATAAACCCGAGGGGATTACGGCTTTAAAGCTGAGGGAGTGAATATTGAGTCCTGGCTATCTTGCAGCAGAAGAGACCCAGCCTTCCTCAGACAAGCAGCCAGGAAACAGTGAGCGGCGGCGGGGGGAAGGGTGGAGGACGAGGTGGAGACTGGGGGCTGCTGAGGGACTTGTTCTCCTTATACACGTCCATGTCATTTGACTCAGCGTTGTTATCTTCTGCTTTAGTGATTTGAAAGTAAAACCCTCAAAGTTAAATCGAACCAAAGTAACACATTGCGAACCAAAGTAACACAATGCGGTGGTCGAAGTTAGTAATCGGCGTTTTTACGTAATCTCTCTTACGCCCCTCAGTGTATTATTTCCCCACAGAAGAGCTGGGTGATTTCACTTAGGGAAACCCCCCTCCCCCACCGCACCTCCCACGTGTGGAGGTCTGTAGTCACTTCAGCTATTCTGAAATAGAAAAGGTTGTGCAATGGTTTCCTCAGTTGGTGAAAAATTCATTTGGTAGCGAAGTCCGACTTGACCAACACATTATTATCTTCTTTTGCCCACTTAGTATAAATATTTACACATTTTGCTGCAGAGCAACTGTTTTTTATTAGTGCTGCCTCAGAAACTGCTAGAAGTTAATATACTTTGTATATAACATGTTTATTTCATGCAATCTAAAACTTCCACATTTTGCAACATTTAGCTCCCAAAGGTTTTAGATAAGAGAAAGTAGATAAATTGGAATGAACAAGTTGATATAGGAGTTCATACACAGCTATATCTTAGTTTGTGTTTACCTCTAGTTGACCTCCCTGGGCTGTTTTAAACTTTGATTTTTATGTTTTAGATAAACTGATCTCTGATCCACCTTTGACCTTACTATATCTGGGTGACTTTATACAATTTACCTAATCTAGTGGATTGAGTGTCCTCTTTGCTAAGAGGCGTGATGATGTGGTGAAGTGGTTGAGATTTTCTGGGTTTAAAACCCAGCTCTACACTTAAGTAGATTTTTGGTTATTGTTTTTTTGAGACAAGGTCTCCTGTGTTGCCCAGGCTGGCCCGAATTTGAGGCGATCCTCCTGCCTTCATTTCCCTAGTGGGATTACAGGCCTGTGCCACTGTGCCCAGCTTTAAATCTCTGTGATCATGGCTCCTTACTCTCTTTGTTCCTCAATTTCTTTATCTAGAAATTGGGCATAATAATTATACTATCTATTTCATGGGACTGTTAGGAAATGAAATGAAATGTGTAAGTATTGAATACGATGCCTGGCATATGGTTAGGATTTATAAAAGTTCCACTACTATCATCTCTAAACTCTTGGAAGATTTAGATACTATTTTTTCCTTTTTTATTTAGTCCAGTATGTAGCAAATGATAGGGACTTAGGAAGTACTTATTAGATTGAATTGCATTTCCTAAAATACTGATGTGTAGTATCTGGATAAGAGACACTTACTGCTACTTGGGCTCTAATTGTGCTAAATATTGAATGTCTGATATTTAATTTTTGTTTCCCTCATTTCCATCTTTTTCTTTTCCTAGAGTCAAACAGACGTATTACCGGAGGTGCTATGCAACTCTCTTTTACATACCTAACCATAGATTATTATCCTTATCATAAAGCAGGTGTGTATAACCATTTCTTTAAAATATGCAAATCTTCTTTTAAAGTTATATGGCCAGTTTTAAATTTTTTGTTTTAATTGAATTGTTTAAGAGGGAAGAGATCAAGAGATCCTGACTATTTTTCTCCTGGCCATTTTTTTCTTTTTTAAACCAAGAAAATAGAATTGCCATAGAAAATATTCATACATTTTCTTTTGGAGGTTCATGTAGATTGTTAGAAACTGTGTTAGAAATTGACAATTTTGTAAATAACTGATTTAAAACTTAAAAACAATCAGAATATGGCAGACTTATATTTGTACTATTTTGTTAGGTACAAAAGCCAATTATTAATCATTGTTTTGGATATTTAAATGATATAATTATATAAGTTATGTATATATGATTTGGGGACCTTTCATTTTTCTATACTTTCTAAATTTTATCAGTAAGTAAGATTTAATACATTCTTTAATCATCAAGTATTGATTTTTTTTCCAAGTAATAAAACAAAAAAGTATGATTATTTACAGCCAAATTAAGTAATTTAACCTTAGCACCTGTCTCTGTCTTTTGGTACTATGTGGCTTATTTTTATGATTTACATAAGAACAAAAGTCATAAAATCACAGTGGATATTCTGAGACTTGCAAAAAGCAATATAATGCTTATGTTCATCATGTTTCTACTTACCAGTGTTTATCATTTCTCTTTTAGTTGCTGGCAAAAATTGAAGGTTGTACTATTTGTTTGGATTTTCTTTTGTTTGTTTTCTTTTTTGGGACAGGGTCTTGCTACACAGTTCAGGCTGGTCTTGAACTCACTATGTAGGCCAGGCTGGCCTCAAACTCTCAGCGATCCTCCTGCCTCAGCCTTAAGAGTGCTGGGTTTACAGGCATGCACCACCACACCCAGTTTAGTTTTCTTTCTAAGGGCTTTGTCTTATATCCTGTCCTGATTAATAACCTAGTTACATATACTTACAATCTTAAACTGTAGAAATTGTTCATACCTTAGATAGTACTTTGATTTATAGAGTGGGTTTTATCCTCCCACCCCTTTCTTCCTTCCTTTTTTGTAGTACTGGGGATTGAATTTAGGGCTGTCGCACTAAGCTATATCCCCAGCGCTTTTTAAATTTTTTATTTTGAGACAGTCTTGTTAAATCATTAAGTTGGCCAGGATGGGCTCCAATTTGTAGTGTGCCACCACTTCCAGCTGGATTTATTTTCATGTACGTGTTTCTTTTCTTAGTTATAAAGAAACCTAATCTCGATTTTGTATTTTCCTTCCCAAAACATACATATCTTTTTATAACTGATGTTTGACTTGAGAAGTTCTGTTAGTCTCTTAAATTAATTATAATAATCATCTTACCTTTTTATACAGTAGATTATTGTTAGTCACTTTACAACAAATCATTGATGAAAATAATCTTTTCTTAAGCATTTTCCTGGAATTTTCTCCAGTGGAGGTTTGTCAGGTGATTGAGCACCCAAAGAAGTTTGACCAGTTCTGTGGCTTTGGATCAAAACTTTGAGTGCAGTTCTAGCATGGATGCGTTCTCGATAGAACCCTCCAGATCATTTGCTTTGAACAGCTCTTTCCCTCTGTTCTAAAAGTCTTGTATTTCAGAGAAGTAGTGGTGACCGCTAGAATTGTTTTGGATGATTAAAGACTACATTAAGAAAGTGATTAAGATTCATTAGGAGCATTGTTATAATAGAATAGATAAAACTGCATTTTTTTGTGAAATGCCTGTTACTCATTTTACAGGAGATAGTTGTAATCACTGGATGTATTTCAGTGATGCAACCAAAACGAAGACTGGATGGGCCAGTGAGTTGTTGCATGAATTTGAGTGCAACGTTGAGATGCTTAAGCAGGCTGTGAAGGATCATCACGTGGGTTCACCTCCCACATCCCCAACACACGCCTCTCCCCAGCACATACAGACAGGTATCTTCCGGCCTCCCCTGAAGTGAAGTGTGTGTGTGTGTGTGTGTGTACATGTGTGCGATTATACTTTCTGTAAATAATATGGCATTAGTTTAATGTTTAAAAATCTTGCAGCTTTCATTTAGACCAACATAAGCACTTTAAAGGTTAATATAACCAATAAGAGAAAGAACAGGTAGAATTTTTCAGACTCTTAAATGACCGACCAGTAAGTCTCTCATTTTTAACATTATAAGAGAGTGACTAAAGGTGATATGAATATGATTACTGTGTAAACATGAATAAATACCGCAAAAACTTACATTCCTTTATCAGTTTATAATTTATACAGTATTTCCACATATTATTTGAGAAATGAGTGTTCATGTATATTTCTGTAGCTGTCTAGTAATAAGGAAGTGGCTATTAAAAAGAATCCTGTAGGGCCAGGGATTTAGCTCCGTGGTTTCTCTGCCAGCTGCACAAGCGCAAGGACCCGAGTTCAATCCCCGGTACCAAAAAAAAAAAGAATCCTGTAATAAACCAAAAGGAGTTTCATTCCCACAGAGAAGGATTCTGCTGTGAAAGGGACCTCCAGAATGTCTGCAGTGTTGCCCCAGCAATCCAAAGCTAAGCTGATGTCAAGTTCTGTTGTGGTTAGACTTGCAGATTTCAACGTGTACCAGGTGTGTGGTATTTTTTAATTTAAATCTAACACTTTTAGTATCTCATACAAGCTACTATAATAACTGATGCCACCATTTTATTTAAAACCATCTTAACAATTTTTGTGAAAAGACCAAATTAAATGGGATAGAAAATATCAGTTCATTAATTTTTATTTATGTGGTTACCCAGAATTAGCCGAACTGTGAAGTCAACAGGATGGTACTTTAGACTGCTGGCCCTGCCCAAATCCTCTGATGCCAATTATAAGTTCAGTTTCAAGGGTTCCCTAAAATTACACTCAAGTTCAGTAATTCACCAAAAGACTCACAGAACTCACTGAAATCTGTACTCATAGTCACTTTTATTACAGGGAAAGGGTATAAATTAGGACCAGCCATAAGAAGAGATAGAGAGGGCAGAGTCGGAAGGGTTCCATATTTGAAACTCGCTTGTCCTTGGAACATGTTCCTCCTGTGTCCCACTATGGATGGTGTTTAATGGTGTACATAAAGTATTGCCTGTGGGCTAAACTCAGTCTCAAGACTGATGGAAATGTCCCAGCATCCCCTGTTCCCCTGAAGCACAATATGGTCAGGTGTGGCCAGCCCCAGCCAGAGTCATATTGTTAGCATCACTATCTGTTGCCAATGCAAATAGGAAATTAGAATTCTTGGTTGAGTCTCAGAACAGGGACAAAGGCCAGGACTCTGTTTAGAGACCAAATTCGATTGATTGATTGATTGATTGATTGATTGATTTGAGACAGGGTCTCACTATGTAATCCAGGCTGGCCTTAAACTCACTATGTAGTCCAGGCTGACCTGAAACTTGTGGTGATCCTCCTGCCTCAGCCTCTCGAGTGCTGGGATTACAGGTGTGTGCCACCACACCTGGCTTTAGAGACCAAATTTCTTAGTACACAGTGTGCTATTTGGAAGAAACAGAAATGCCTTTTTCACTCTACTTAACTAGTAAATACTGTATTGGCTATACTGTGAACTTCATTTTATAACTAAGAACTCTGTCCCCCTTATACTAATACTCTTATTCAGGCTGCTAATCCTATAACATGGTCTAATATCACAATCCTTGAGACCAACAATATAGAATATATGGCCTATTTTAAAAAAATAACAATGAATAAAGAAAATGTGGTATTTATACACAATGGAGTAGTATTCTGCCATAAAGAAGGATAAACTGAAGTCATTTGTAGGAAAATGGATGCACCTTGAGATCATGATGTTAAATGAAATACATCAGACACACCACTTAAATATTTCTCTTCTGTGAGAAACCCAAAATATAAATAAAATGCAAAATAGAAGATACATGATAGGAAATAGGAAGATGGATCTTTTGCAGAAAGGAAGTAGACCAATAGATGGAAGGAGCGGAGGAGGGCGGTAGGAGAGGGGGATAAAAAAAAGAATTAAGATGTATTGTATGCATGGACCAACTCTCCACAAGGAATGTAATCATTATGGACTGCAAACGTGTACCAATAAAAAATAAAAATTGAAAAAAATAACAGTTTAGATCTTTGTATTATTTAAAAATTGTTCTAGTTTATTTTGATGAGCCTATGATTTTATATGAAACGTTTTTATTAACTCACTGGTTTTCAGGCGGGCTCAGTTTACTCCCAGGGCACATTTGACAAGGTCTAAGGACAAATTGTAGCTCTTACCAGTGGAGGGTGCTGCTGACCCCTAGTGGGCGAGGCTGGAGATGCCGCTGTCATCGCGCGCGGTGCAGCCTTCCCCGAAGAATTGCCTGGCCCAAAGCTCACTACTGCCAGTGAGGAGAAAGCCCAACTAACAGCTATTTTCTCAATGTGGAATTGCTTCTTGACATTTTCTTATATACTACAGCTTACTTAAAATTTAGGTCAGTTCATAGAGAAATGAGGGATGGGACTCACCCACAATGTCAAATGGCAGAAAGGAAGGTATGGTAAAGAAACTCCACATACACAAACACGCCAAAACCAAAACAGAATAAGTAGCAGAAAATAAAATAATATGTCCATCCCATTTTGAGTAACTTGACTATTGAAGGAAAAAGAGGGCTGGGGATTTAGCTCAGTGGTTTTGCCGCCTGCTGCGCAAGCCTAAGGACCTGAGTTCGATCCCTGGTACCCCCCCCCCCAAAAGAAATAAGCTCCTGTTTATTAAAATACATTGACACTTAACTTGGAAGGATTTGTTTCTCTTTATGCAGAAAAAGCCTGTTTTATATATAATATGAAGAAACTGACTTAAATGTATAAAAAGTGCAAATAAAAGATTTAATTACAAGAAGAAACATCTGTGAAAAGAGTATTCTGCTTTTATTTATTTTTTTTTGGTACTGGGGATTGAACTCAGGACCTTGCTCTTGCGAGGCTGGCGCAGTGCCACTGAGCTAAATCCGCAGCCCGAGAGTATTCTGTTTTATATGACAAATATATACATTGGTCAAATGAGTGAAGAAAGTTAAAATAACTTTGAGATGCATCCTTAGGTCTGTTAAATTGGAATAAGTAAAATCAATAAAACTTAATCATTTGAAATTTGGAGAAATATATTTTAAAATCGAATTTATAATTATAAATTAGCTGTTTGGGGAGAAGAGTGAAAAAAATTTATCTAGAACCTTAAAAATAACAGATCTTTTGGAGAAGTAATTTAAGATCCCACACTAGCAGGCATGTTGGGGCATGCCTGTAATCCTAGCTACTCCACAGACTGAGGCAGGAGAATGGCAAGTTCAAGGTCAGTGAACAACTTAGCCAGATCTTATTAAAAAAAAAAAGAAGAAGATGGGGATTCGTTGGGTGCTGGAGATGTAGCTCAGTGGTAGAGTGCCCTGCACCTAGGTTCAAGTCTCAATGCCACCAAAAACATTGTGTGACTAAAATTGCTGTCCATCCCCAGAATTGTTTCATCACCACAAATGAAACTCTATGTAGCTTTACTGTTTTTCATAATAATGAAGAACTTATGGTGAAGAATTATTACAAAGAATGCAGTAAGGAAGGATTCAGCCTTGAGGATGTGAATCTGCATCCTTCCTCTGCCATTTATTTATCTATATCATTGTCATTGTTCTCTTCTTATTTTAAGGCTCTAATTAATAAGTTTGCAAGGACTATTATACAAAATTGATTTTATAGCTAATAAAGATCCAAAATGGTTGTGGGGTTTTCTGAGTAGTTGGTGGCTAAAAACAGTGTGAGGTTAATGTGAAGTTAAATATATATATTTTAAATTTTCATTGGCAGTTAACCGTTGAAAGTTATTGGAAGTATTTTAAAAGAGTTTTACGTGATGTCTGATGTGCAGACTTCTTTGGAAAGGGCTTTATTCAGCAAATTTAATTGTTTTTTTTCAGGTCTCTACAGCAGAACAATGTCATTCTTCTCCCAAAAGTATGATTTCCTGCAATAAAAAATCACTGTATCTTCCACAAGAAATGTCAGCTGTCTATGTAGAATTCACAGAATATTACTATCCAGATGGAAAGGATTTTCCAAGTAAGAGAATTTTCTGTTTTGTTATTTATTCATTATTTGAAAAGTTTTGAGTGGTTATTTTTTAGTGTTTCTGAGTTATCTAAATGTGAAAAAAATCAAAGTCTATTCTTGTGAAGGCAGGTAGCAGAATCACTGAGCTAAATCCCCAGCCCTCAAAGTATATTCTTTATTCTTGTCATTACTATTTGTAGTACATTAATAAAATATACGTACATACTACTATTTGTTCATATGTTCTTTTCCTTTATTACTATGGCATCCTTGATGGCTGGAATCCTATGGTGTTCATGACTATTTTTATCCCTGAAGTTTGACTCATTTTTGTGCTTAGTATCTGTTTGTTAAAAGAATAAATGAAAGATATATCAACCCTAGAGAACCCCATTTTATTGAAAAATAAATAATTGAAATAGTCTCTTAGGTTGGAGAATATTTTTGACTGTTTCTAAATGGCCAAGTGCATACTTTAGTTAACCTTTGGCACATACATTTTGTTAGAAATATTGAATTTTTTTTTTTTTTGGTACCGGGGATCGAACTCGGGTCCTTGCACTTGCGGGGCAGGTGGCGGAACCACTGAGCTAGATCTCCAGCCCAGAAATACTGAATTGTGTGAATTTTTATTTGTAAGCCACTTTAGTATCCTAAATTTAAAAGTTATTTTACATTTAGTGTTCTTTGAATATTAAAGTTCTATACTGTTGTCTCAGTTAATCTGAGTTCTTCAAATTAAAAGTTTGTCTTTGTTTATGTGGTTCTTTTTCCGTTATTTTCGACTCTGAAAAGTGGGGTTGAGAAAAGCTGTTTAGATGTCAGAGGAAACACAATTGAAGGTTTCTCTCTAAAAGTGGAACTCCAGAATGCTTAGACTTACTTTGCCTGTGTGTTTAATATTGACTTAGTAATTTCTGATGCTCATGCAGTGGTTTTTGGTTTTGTTGCTAAATTTTCTTCAGTGCCTTACTTCCTTTCTATTCCCAAAGATAAATACCCTCATATCATAATTGCATATCTCTGATAGGTCTGAATTTTAACTTTTTGTCACCTATCTTGTAACAAACTATAAATCTTTTTTAAAAGGCTATGCTATTCTTTTTGTGTTCTTTGTGCTTAGTGTAATATACAAAATGTAGTCAACATTCAGTGGATCTTTGCTAAAGGAAAGTGAATAAATGAATAATGTAAGCAAAAATCTCATATACAGGACACTGTTAACAATATTTTCTCTGATCTGGTTTCCCATCCCTTGGATTCATTTTCCTTGACCTAGTTTGTTCTAAGCTTACTAGTTGTATATACTTTTAGCTTTGGTAAAAGCAAATATGTTTGGATCTTTACTCTGCCGTTCTGGATATCAGCAAGTGTTATACATGCTAATTGTAAATACGAGTTTATTTTGAGAGAGCTATGATAAAGATTGTATTCATTTGATTGTTCAAGAGATACTTGGATACTCGAGTTTTACTTTACCTCAGGCACTATTCTAAACGTTGATTAAAGCGGGAAATAAAACCATGTTTGCTCCATGCTTTAAGGAGTTCTACCTAGCATACCACTTTTTTTTTTTATTCTTACCAGTCTGTGTCATTTTTTCCCCACATTTCATGGGTTTTATCTGGCAGATTTGTCCATGCACGTATGATACTTTAATTATTTCACCACCGTCACCATGACCCCCTTAATTTCACGCTTTGGGGTGTTTCGATATATATTTTAATCGTATTTATCTCCCCTATGACCTGCCCTTACACCTCCCCTCCTGGGCAATTATTAGACAAGAAGGTCTCGTCTCATTAACAGTCTCCTTTCTACTTTCTTGTCCACACATTAGGGAGAACATGCAGTATTTGTCCGATTTATTTCACTCAACATGATGATCTCCAAATCCATCCATTTTTCTGCAAAGGACAAGGTTCACTTTTTAAATGACTGATTAATAAGCCATTGTGTTCCCACATATTCTTTATCCGTTCATCTGTCGATGGGCCCCTGGGCTGTTCCATTATCTTGGCTGTTGTGAACTGTGCCACAGTAAGCACAGGTATAGCATACCACTTTCAAAGGAAATTGGTCATCAAACTTAAAAGATGCAGGTTAAGATTCAGAGGATAAAGTCCTTACAGAAATACACCATTGAGAACTACAGTGTTGGTATGTTACTTCATCAATAGGGTAATATTTTTAGAAGTTTGCTTCTCTTTGAAAATAACCTTAAAAAAAGACATCTGAATAGTTACTTCCTATTTATTCCTCTAAACTTATATTACATTAAGTATTTTTCAGTGGAGATAGAAAATGATTTTTACTATTTCAGCTACCATTCACATGTTACTCTAATTGTGTATGTATAATGTTTCAAAAAGTTTTAAGAAAGAATAAAACCTATTAAAATATCTTTTCTGTTCTTGGGGGACATTTAGAACTGTCCATTAACAAAATTAATTTTTTTTTTTCCTCCACAGTTCCATCTCCCAACCTTTATGGCCAGCTGAATGCACTGCAGTTTACTGTGGATGAAAGAAGCATTCTGTGGTTAAATCAGTTTGTGTTGGATTTAAAACAGAGTCTTAATCAGTTCATGACTGTGTACAAATTGAATGACAATTCAAAATCTGATGAGCATGTTGATATTCGAGTTGATGGCTTAATGCTAAAGGTATAGGCAAGCGGCTGTTAGAATAAAACCACTTTTATGGAAGAAAAGTTGGCAGCATTATAAGTTTTAGGATTTAAGATGGATATTTATATATAAATCAGCTTCACTATAATATTAATTTTGATTTTGAAATTTCAGATTTGATTCTCTGTTATAGAAGCTTTAAAAAACTGCCCCCTTCCTCCACTTGTGTACTTCTTATGACTGTTTTATCTTTCTCTAAAATTTCTATGCATTTACAAATAAAATTTAAATTGGTCATTTTTCTCTGCGTTAGAACTGATAAAATTTTTCTTTCAAGAGAGATAAAATTATGCAACAAAACTTTAAATTGAGTTTTATTTATTCACATTTATTCTATTATTAATATCCATAGATCATAGAAAGTTGCTTTTCATTATACCCAAGTAGTTGGTAATCTGAGCTCTATAGATTTTTAAGTTTTAAAGGAAAGAAGCTAAAAGAAAAAAGAAAACTCCTGGCTCATATAGCTTAGTAAATAGAATGACTTAGACATGGATGAAGGTTTTGGTTTCTAAGCCTATTGCTGATAGACTAAATTTACATACCCTAAATTCTTCCCTGTAAAATGATGTTAATAATACTCAACAATTGCACTGCAGAAATATTTTAAAGATCTTCTCAAGAGTTTATAAAATTCAATATTAAAGGACATGTTTTATAACATATAGCAATGTTTGCATCTTCTGAATATGGGCAGTATTAAAGTGAGTCATTCTGAACTCTTCGGTATCAGTATTTTCAGGACTGAATTTAATTATCCCTTGAGAATTATCGTAGTAAACAGTTTGACTTATGCTTTTAAGTTTACATTCTTGCTAGTTCAGAAAACTGATTCTAATGACATCTATCCAGTCATTCCGTTCTTTCATCCAGTCATTCTCCAAAACATTTGGGGTTTTTTTTGTTTTTTTTTTTGGTACCAGAGATCAAACTCGGGTCCTTGCGCTTGCAGGGAAGGCAGCAGAACCACTGAGCTAAATCCCCAGCCCTCTCCAAAACATTTGGATTGAAATATCCTAACAAAAAATCTTTCCAGACTTGGCACTTTTTTCTGTGCACTCAGGCCACAGTCAACATTTATTAATGATGATTTAGCTCCATTGTATTATTTTTATTTCGTGATTTATTATGTATAAAATATGACACGTACATTATTTATGGGTCTTTTTGGAGAAAGTTATTCTCTTAGTGGTCAACTATTTAAGTCCCTTTTATTCAATTTGTAAAAAGTTTTGAAAGGCAGAGAGTTAGTGTTTTCCATCTAAATAGGAAAGAATTATTGTGGGGGAAGATAAAAGAATTCCTAAGTTAAATCATGTTCTTGATCATTTTATCTTCAAGAGGTATGGATTTGTAAGCTGGACTAATTTTTTTCCCCTTCTAGTTTGTCATTCCTTCTGAAATGAAATCTGAATGTCATCAAGATCAACCTCGTGCTGTTTCCATTCAGAGTTCTGAAATGATTGCCACCAACACAAGGCACTGTCCAAACTGTCGACATTCTGATCTAGAAGCATTGTTTCAACACTTCAAAGATTGTGATTTTTTTAGTAAAACATACACTAACTTCCCTAAATCTTGTGACAGTTTTAATCTTCTGCATCCAATTTTCCAGAGACATGCTCATGAACAAGATACCAAAATGCATGAAGTTTATAAAGGAAATATTACTCCCAAATTGAATAAACACACCCTTAAGACTTCTGCTGCCACAGATGTTTGGGCTGTGTATTTTTCTCAGTTTTGGATAGATTATGAAGGGATGAAAAGTGGAAAAGGACGACCAATAAGTTTTGTAGACTCTTTCCCTCTATCTATCTGGATTTGTCAGCCAACAAGATATGCAGAGTCACAGAAAGAGCTGCAGACTTATACTCAGGTAGCCATAAATACATCCCAAAGTGAATCTAGTGATCTGGTTGGTCGACTGAAGCGGAAGAAGCTGCTAAAGGAGTATTACAGCACAGAGTCCGAGCCTGTGGCAAATGGTGGCCAGAAACCCTCATCAGACCCATCGCTAAGTGTTTCCTCTTCATCATTGGATGCAGATATTCATGTTCTGGTTCATGTGCATAAGCATGTTAGTATGCAGATCAATCACTACCAGTATCTGCTTCTACTTTTCCTACATGAGTCACTTATTTTGCTTGCAGACAACTTAAGGAAAGATGTAGAAGCTGTGACTGGCAACCCTGCTACTCAGACATCTGTTTGCATTGGACTCCTACTCAGAAGTGCAGAACTGGCTCTTCTGCTGCATCCAGTGGATCAACCAAATCCTCTTAAGTCTCCTGTTTCTGACAGTGTGAGCCTGATGGTTCCTGAGGATTTGCCACCAGAAAATGGAGAATTTTTGTCTTCAAAAAGAAAGCAAGTTAGTAGTGGTATAAATCAAATAAGTGTCGGTGTTAATCACATGTCAGACAATAGATCTATGAGTGTTGACCTTAGCCATGTCCCTTTAAAGGACCCTTTGCTTTTTAAATCAGCTAGTGATACAAATCTGCAAAAAGGTACTTTTCTAGACTGTTTATCAGATAAGCATTTAGGGAAAATAAGCGAAGATGAAAATAGTGGACTAGTTTACAAAGGCGGGTCAGGAGCAATTGGATCAGAAGTAAATGACAGAAAACATTCATCTTGTACAGATTCAAATCATGTCTTAAACCACCAAGAAGACTCAAGTAGGCTGTCATTTGATAATGATGGTAATCAAAACATTCTTTCAAATAGTTTAACTAATAAAGGAAATGAAACCACGGAGTCACTCTTTAAGCCTGAAGATCTGCTTCTAGATGCAGCTTCATCCCCTGACAACCCAGAAATCAGTAAAGAAGAGGCATCCGCAGTGAGAACACTTAAATCACAGTCATCTTTAAGGTAACAACGTACTATTGGAAGTTTGGGGCTTTCTGTTTTTGCTGTCTGTGCACGTGAGTGTATTTTGTTTGGGGATGGAAACCCTCATGACAAAATGGTATAGCAACATTGTTAGAGTTAACAAAAAGTAGATTTTTCAAAATATGAGATCTCTTTGAGCTTATACATTTAAATATAATTTAAAAACTTATAGGTGCTGTGTGCATATTTTAATTTTGTTAGATGTGGTTTAAGAAATTTCTTGTTTTTATGTAGTAATCTTCTAGTAATTTTGTTTAACAGTGGGAAGCCTAAGGAACGTTGCCCACCCAACCTGCCTCCACTCAGTGTTTCTTATAAGAACATGAAAAGAAGCCCCTCACAAATCTCCTTGGATACCATTTCCCTTGACAGCGTGATATTGGAAGAGCAGTTGTTGGAAAGTGATGGAAGCGATAGTCATGTATTTTTGGAAAAAGGTAAACCAGTACAGTGTAAGAATTCTTATTATATACCAGAGTCTGCCAAAAAAATATATACACACTTCAGCTGTTCACCACACTAATACATGCCTGGAAGCTAATAGCTGCCACTTCGAACACCTTTGTAACTGTAGAGGCCAAAGGTAACTGTATTAATCCCATGATATCCCAATACATTTAGTATTGAAGTATTTATGCACACTTTTCTTTTCCTGATGTATACCTTTTTTGGTGGACTCTATATATCAACAAATCTTGTAAGAAAAGTAATATTGAATAATTTTAAGTTATATTACATAATTGTTAATTACATCCAAAGAAAGATTTAGTTATATACACACACCAAGAGTACCTAACTTTCTCATGGTAGTTCCACTTCTTTTTATTCATTTTTTTTTACTTTATGAATAAATAAAACAGATTGTCATCATCAGATAATGAGCGGATAACTGGTGTATCATTATCTTCTGATTAGTTCCTCAGTACAGACATAAACCAAGAAGAGTCTTACAAAAGAGAAACAAACTGATAATAACACAAACTTTCTTTTCAACAAACTAAGATAAACTATTAATATAAATCAAACAAATTAGCACATATATTGCAGTATTTTTACACTTGATCTTAGCCAAAAGGCCAAGAAGCGATTGTAGTATTTTTAAAACAACAGAAGACGTAATTTGGGGGAATCCATTGCTCCTTTTTTAAAAAATAAATTTTATTTTATTTTATCCCATCCCCCTCTCAAGCCCCTCCCCTCCCTATGTACAGAAGCTTTGTTTCCATTTTTTCCTTCTATTTTCACTTTTTTCTTGTCCCTTCTTTCCTTTCTCCCTCCCTCCTCCTTTGTTCCTCTTCCCATTCGAACACTTTCTTCCCATCCATTGCTCTTTTTAACCACATATCCCTCTTTATAGCTGACATGTAGTAATTATTTATATATAGTCACTTAGATCATAAAGCAGCCAACCTTAGGGCCACCCACTTCTTTTTTTTTTTTTTAGTACCAGGGATCAAACTCAGGACCTTGCACTTGGGAGGCAGGCGGCAGAACCACTGAGCTAATTCCCTGGCCACCCACCTCTTTTATAGAAGCCCCTATATCTGACAGTTGGATTAGATGGGACTCATTTGCCTGGTGGATTCTCAATTATGTGATCCTGTGCCTGGGATTTTTCCAGACTGGAGCCAGTGATTTGCAAAACCTAGATTATTTCACATATGTGGTGGTATATAATGGAACTGCAGGATCCTTTCTATTTCATGAGAGGTGACCAGTGTCCCAGTAAAGGCTGCTATGAATGATTTAGCATTAGACACAGCCCCATAAGTAAGATATTGGAGACATTGTAAGCAGGAATAAAGATATTGGGGATTTCTAAGCAGGAATAAAATCATGGGCCAAAGTCAGAGAATAGAAAGGCAAATATGAATTATTTTCTATTTGAAGCCCAGAGCAATTGAAAACAGCTTAGATGAGACAATACTATAATAATAAATATATGAAAGGAAGCCACATTGTGGTACATTGTGCTATAATCCCAGCATTTAGAAAGCTGAGGCAGGAGGATTGCCACCAGTTTAAAGCCAGCCTGGGCTACATAGTGAGATCTTGTCTTAAAAAAAAAAATCTATATCTATAGATATATATATATATCTATATATATATCTATATCTATCTATCTATCTATCTATCTATCTATCTATCTATCTATCTATCTATATATCTATCTATCTATCTATCTCCAAAAGAGAGAGAACAGTAAGTGTCATTACCATGATTGTTACAGTAGCAGCTTCCATTCATTGTCAGGTGCTATATTATCCATTTTGTGCTGTCACTTCATCTGAGAATGCCGCAGACTGGGCCATTGATAAAGCCTGGAAGTTTGTTCCCCACAGATGGCAAGGCTGGGAACCCTAAGACCACGGCCCTGGCAGCTTTGGTGCCTGGTGTGGGCTGCATCCTCTAGGAGGCGTGGCTCCTCTGCCCCTGCATGATGCGGAGGGAAAGGCCAAGAGGCTGTTCTGACCATTCCTTGGGTAGGGGCCTTGTGCTCCAAAGGCTGCCTTCACATTGGCAGCGCTTGGAGTTTTGAGGAGACATTCAGATCATAGGAGGCGCTTAAATAGTTCACCTCATTCAGTTTGAAACACAACCCTGTAATAATAGTAGCCAGCATTTATTTGGCACATTTTCTGTTTTGGCACTGTGTGTGTGTGTGTGTGTGTGTGTGTGTGTGTGTGTGTAAATGCATTTATCCCTCACAACAATTCTACCAATAATATACTGTTGTCTTCAGAGAGGTTAAGGAAGTAACCCAAGGTAACACAGCTAGTCAGTGGTTCACTAGACTCTGTATACCAGATTGCCTCAGCTCTGTGAGGCCCGTTTATTCCTGTCCTCATTTTATAGGTGTAGAAACTGAGGTTCCCAAAGGTAAGGTAATTTGCTATAGTCATTATTGTAGGTGGAGCTTGGATTGTCACTTTTTGTTTTTTCTAGGCTGACAGTTACTAGGTACTTACTATACCAGTTACTGATTTAAGCACTGGATCTGTTTTTAACCTTCAGAGAAATCTAAGGTAGGAACTATTATTATCTCCATTTTTAAAAAGAGCAAAATGAAGCCTAGGGAGGTTAAATGGTTTGCCCAAGGTCATGCAGTGAGAGGTGGAGTTAGCATTTGAACACAGGCAGACTCAAAGTCCAGACTCTTCTAACTGACTTGAACAAGCCTTCATAACTAAATTTACTCGTCGTATAAAAGCCAGAAAACAAAGCTCCCTTCTAGGTCCCTTTTACTCTCACTTGGTTGGAACAGCTAGTCATTCTACCTGCATGGTAGATGGTATGTAAAAATAGCAGACATTTATTGAACACCCTGGTTACCTCTGCCAAGTGCTTTGAAATATATTGTTTTATTTGATCCTCAAAACAATCCTAATAAGGGATTATTGATCCTTTTTTAAAAGAATAGATTTAGAAACTGAAGCTTAGGGAAATTAAGTATCTTGTTCAAAGTCATGTAGCCAGGAAGTAATAGAGGCAGATCTGTTAGCTAGTCCTATCAAAAGCCTATACTTTTAACCAGCATACCTGTTCCTCAGACTTGAAGAATGATTACCGTATGTAAACAGAAATCCCTACTCTAACTCATTATATGTAACACATAGCACTGTGCTTTCTAGTATACCACTTAAATGTACTCATAGGGATCATAAAAAACGATTCTAGATTCACAGATAGCCCTAGTTGCCTGTCCCTTGTCTCAGTTATGGTTTAAAGTTCTCTCTGAACAGGATTTCTATCCTAAGACCCAAATATTCTTCAAAAACAGTCTTGCAAATGTCCCTACTTATTCTCAAAAAAGCATAGTGATTTTCTTATTTCTAATTAAATAATAAAAAATACAATTCAGTGTGGAAACCTTGGACAGAATGACCATAATTTGGAAAATAAAATCACCCCAAACTCAAACATTCTAGAGCTATCATGTTGTATTTATTCTGTGGGTTTGTATGTACAGTATTTGCATGTCATAGTTGTTTTCTTGTTGCAGAGACACAATACCCATCACCTACAACCCAAAGCAGGACAGGTTTATTTTGGCTCACAGTTTGTAGAGGTTTCATTCAATAGTCAGCAAGCTCCAAGGCAGGGCAGGCCTCATGGCAGAAGGGAGAGAGCTCATGGCATGGCGGACAGGAAGCAAAGAGGGATGGAGGGGTAGACCTTTCCAGGCCACGCCCCAGTGACCACCTCCTCCAACCAGGCTTCACCTCTCATCATCCCATTCAGCTATAACCTATCAGCAGACTAATGCACTGGTGGTGAGTACCATGTCCCCACGACACAGTCACCTCCCCAAAGCCCCACCTATGAGTGCATGAGGCTTTGGGAGCCATCTAGTTATGTAGGACAGCATGGACTAGGGATGTGGCTCTAGGGTAGAGCCCTTGCCTTGCTTGCAGGGCCATGCTTGTACGATATAAACCAGAACAGTGCATATATATGTGTGTGTTGTCATTACATATATGACTTTGTAACCTGCTTTTTATGATGTGTAAGCATTTTCCAATATTAAACTATTTTGAAAATACTTTTAAACCTATATAAAATTGTTATAAAAATGTATCATGACCTTTTAGGCATTTCCCTAATGTTGAATGTTTACACTGTTTATAATTTTTCACAGTTACAAAAATGCTATCATTGATATCTTCACGCATACATTTTTGCCTACATTTCTGATTACTATCTTACAATAGATTCTAACACTATACTTTTTTAGGATCTTGTAACACTTAATTGGTAATATTCCTGGCTCTCCTAGAACTTTTTTCTTTTCTTTTTTTTTTTTTTAAATGGTACTCAGGGGCTGGGGATTTAGCTCAGTGGTTCCACTACCTGCCTTGCAAGCACAAGGTCCCGAGTTCGATCCCCAGTACCAAAAATAATAATAATGGTACTGGGAATTGAACCTAGGGCCTCACACATGCTAGGCAAGCACTGTGCCACTGAGCAATATTCCCAGCCCTTTTTAATTTAATTTTTTGATATTAAAATTATTTATTTTATAATTATGCACATTGAAGGAAAGTGTGATAGCAGAGTTCTTTTCCACCGTAAAATTATACCCATTTATTTAACTAGAAACACTAGCTTGAGAGGTACCAGCATATTCCATTTGTAATAATTTCTCAACAGCAAACAACTGTCTTGTATTTGGAGCATGTTGAGAAAAATAATGCCTCAGTAGTCTTTTTTGACTATTTCCTTTGAGTCTCAATCACTAAGAGTCCAAGGTACTTGGGGAGAATCCTTGTGTCCCGCATGGCCTGATGAATGCATTAAATCAAGCAGTATGTTTATATCCTGAAAATACTCTTAAACCCATGTACATGTTGTGTGGCTTGTGGAGCTCAGATTTCCCCTCTGGCACTATGACATTTGGAGCACATTTGTTATGGAAGTTTTACCCCGATTTTCTTTTGTTCCTTCTTCATTAGCCTCTTTGCTTCCTTTTTAATTTTCTTCCTTTGTTGTTCTGCTGCTCTCATTTCTCTGTCTGCTATTTTCTGTTGCCTCAGAACTTCCTCTGCTTGCCAGGCTGCATCTTCTTCTCCCATGCGTTGGTATTTTCTTGCCAGGTATCCAAGTTGCCTAATACAGAGGATTGATGAATAAAAGGCACATCTTGTGTGGCTGCTAATCTACTGGAGAAACCTGTGCTACCATCTGGAATGCCAAAATTTAATGGTTCCCTCTTCTTAATAACAATGTTCTGAGCTTTTCTTTTCTTTTCTTTTCATGCAAGCACTAGGTGTCATGTCCTTAAAGTAGTCAGGTTCCAGCTGCTCCAAGGCATTCTGCTGTGTGGCCGCACTCCCATCCCCGCCTTCCATCTTCACGCATGTGGGAGCATCTTCATCCCGGGAGGTCCGCTCTTCCACATCTGTCTGCTTAGGAATTGAGGAATAATCAGCAGTAGTTGGCAATGTAATTTGGTCTCCACGTAATTCCCTTCCTCTAAAGAGATTAATATGCCAGATCTGCATATTAATCTCTTTAGAAATGAGAAAACTGCTGCCAGGCAGGTACAAACTTTAAATAACCGAAACTGAGTGATGGCCATGATGGGTATCAAAACCCGCCTGCCTCTCTGCCCAGTGGAGGCTCCGAGCTGCCACAGGCCAAGCACACATGAGGCATGCGTGCTGCCCAAATTTAATTTTTTATTGAAATCTGGTCTTAAGTTGCCCAAGTTGGCCTCGAACTTGGGATTCTCCTGCCTCAGCCTCCCAAGTGCTGCAATTACATATGTGCACCAAGACACCCAGCTGCTCTGAACTCCTAAAAAAGTATTCTCTTGGGGCAGGGGATTTAGCTTAGTGGTTCTGTTGCCTCCCTCCCAAGCACAAGGTCCTGAGTTCAATCCCCAGTACCAAAAAAAAAAGTATTCTCTGTATTTTATGGGACCTATTATTCATCTGTATGTATCATACACAGAGACATATGCATACATGCATATATATACATAAGCTAGCCATGTATTGTGTACGTATTTATGGATATATTTATGAACACTTGCACACAAACACATAGCTGGACTACCAGCTTACTATAGGCTCTTCACTGGTCTTCTTACAGCTACATATTTTTGTTCATTTGCAGTTTATTCTGTAGTCAGAATACTGTTCTAAAAATGCAAATTGTTTGTGTGTGTGTGTGTGTGTGTTTGGTACCGGGGATCGAACTCGGGACCTCGCACTTGCGAGACAGGCGCTGGCACCACTGAGCTAAATCCCCACCCCTAAAAATGCAAATTTGATTGTGTGGTTTTCCAAGTTTAATCCGTATATCTCCTGCTTGCTGTAAAGTTGTTGAGTCTAAAATCCTTAACATCTGACAGTGTTCTATGTGATTTGGCCCCAGCTTTCGTTTCCTGTGGTGTTTTGCTTTCACTTTTTTACTCACTGTGCTCCATCTGCGCTATGGAATATCTCAGTCTTCCTCCCAGTTTCTTTACTGTGATAAACTGTTGCCTGCTTCAGGGTTTTGTTCCTGTTCCTGGAAAGCCCCTTTCGTTCTGTTTAACTTAATAAAAATATTTTTATCAAAGAAGCCTTCTTAAAACCATGGGCTGGGAGGAAGGCCATTGGAGATGCCTTTACACATTAGCTCCTCATACCGAAATTGTATTTCCATGCATCTTCCCTGTCATTACCTGGTAGTTTATTGTCACCATGATTGCTAACCACTGAGGTGAGAAGCCAGTTATACAGTAGTAAATGTGATAATAAATTGAGGCTTGCATTTTGTAACTCTTTAGGTTTTCTAATCTAATTTTTCTAATTTTATGGATTTTTAAAAGTATTAATCTGTGATAAACACAAAATTTAAAAAAAATTTTAAACTACAGATAGTTTGAGAAATACTGAAATACAACACATTGAATATTTAGGCAGCTAGGGAGGGATGGAAAATAATGACAGTAGTGATGGTGGTATTAAGTTCCTATAAAATACAATTAAGAGTTGCTGGAGGGTATTGAGAGGAGGAATGGAGTGGAAGGAGCCTGTTGATTGGACCAGCCTTGCAGCCACTGCTCGAGAGGAGCAGATGCGCTGTGTCCCTCAGCAGAATATTGTTTCAGATGCTCTAAGTTTAGGGCTTAGTGTCTTTAACATTTTATTCTTGGAAATTACTGCTTATTATTTGCTAACCGATCAATCTAAATTTCTTTTCCAGTTTTTTAAACAAGACATGTTTGAGAAAGAGTTGAAGGGATCATCCATTTTGGTTAAATAAACTTCACTATGTGGATCATGTGTAAAACCGATTTTATTTGCTGTGTGTTATTTCAGAAATTAAAAAGGACTCTACCAATCACCAGAGCCCAGCAGAGAGTGTGAGCACCAGTGCAAATCTGCAGAAATACGGTGAATCCTCTCCAGATGCCATTAGTACGAATTCAGAGGGTGCTCAAGAAAACCACGATGACCTGGTAATCACTTAGAGGAATTGTATGAAAAAAATGCCATCAGCTTTCTTTCATATTCGATGTGTACACATCTTAAGATACTAATGTACAAGAGGAATTCTTAGATGGTGGTTGGTTTACTCTGCTCTTTCTACTCTTGAGGGTGCTTTCTTCCTCTGTAATAAATTGGCTTTTTTTCTATTTACATTTCTAAATTTGTTTTTAATCATTTTGAGGAGGGGAGGACCTATCTTTGTTTTCTGTCTTATCTTTTTTTTTTAACCTATATTTTAGTTTCTTTTAAATATACTTTTTAGAAAAAGTTTGATGCAAGGAAAAACGTCCTTATAATATGGGGCTTTCTACAAAGAAAATTCATTACTATTTTTTTTAAACCTTTCTGACCTAGTGGAATATTTATAAGAAAGACTTTAAAAATGTATTATTGTCCTACTTTTAGTGAAAATCATTTTACATGGAAAAGTCATATAATTAATCTTTGCCAACTAAAATAGTTTTCCTTGACTGAATGAAAAGACTAAGTTTGTTATTATAGATTGAGTATCCCTTGTGCAAAAGTTTTAGGATCAGAAGCATTTTGGATTTCAAAAAAACTTTTGGGAATATTTGCATATACATTGCAAGATATCTTGGAGATGGACCAAGATGAAAGATGAAATTTATTTATGATTCATATACATTATATACACATAGCCTGGTAATTTTCTATAAAACTTTTAATAATTTGGTGCATGAGCTGAGTGTGGTGGTTTACTCCTGTAACCCCAGCACTCTGGAGGCTGAGGCAGGAGGATAGCCGCAACTTTCAGGCCAGCCTGGGCGATGTAGTGAGTTCAAGGCCAGCCTGGACTACATAGTGAAATTCTGACTCAAAAAACAAAATGAAACAAAACCAAAAAAATAATTTTATGCATGAACCAGAGTTTCACAATGCAGAATTTTCCACTTGTGGCATCATATTGTCAATCAAAAAGTTTCAGATTTCTGATTTTAAAATTAGGTTATATTCAACCTAAACAATGTAACTACTGGTTCTGTAGGTCATACATATATTTCTAGTTTGATAAAATGTCGCTGTACATTTAGAAATGAATGGTCATTTATTTCTTAAATTTAATTACTTGGTACACTGATATTATTTATGTGATCGATAATAGATGTCAGTCGTGGTGTTTAAAATTACTGGTGTTAATGGAGAAATTGATATCCGAGGAGAAGATACAGAAATCTGTCTTCAAGTGAACCAGGTGACACCAGATCAGTTAGGCAATATCAGTCTTCGGCATTATCTTTGTAATCGTCCAGTTGGTAAGTTTTTTTTAAACTACTTTGCACACAAAATAATATGATTTAAACTTGTTTTTTTTGTTTTGCATATGACTAATCGATGGTCTTCTCGTTGATATAAATTGGTTAAAAGGAGAAACTACAAATAAAAATGTCATTGATCTATCATATTTTTATTGGGAAAATACACAGAATTCCATATCTGATCCATAATATGTTGAAATAAATACAGTCTTTCATGATAACAGAGTTATGCTATCACCTCACATTCTGGGAATTGCAGGTAAAGGTGCTATTAGTCTATAAGCCACCATCATAGGAAAAAAATTGGCTTTGTGTCTTTTTCCTGTGTTAGGCCTTGCAATTTACAGTATATCTGCTAAAAAAAAGAAATTCAGGAATTTTATATTAAGTGTAAATCCTGAAACCATGAAAAATGGAGAAAGCTAAATTTATATCTAGAAAAGTTTCATAGTGGACAAAAAACCAAAATTAATTTGAAACAAAATTTCAGAACCTAGACCTTGTTTTATATCCATTCTCAACACTTTTCAAATGGTACACTCTTACATTATTTACAGTTGCACAATTCTCTTTTATCATTTATAGCTCACTTAATACTATGTCCTATTACTTTGTTTCATTTTGTATCTAACCAAATTATTTTGGGATGCCTTATATGTGGGGTTGTACAGTCAGTGCTAATACCTTACTTTTTCTTAACTGTCTCGGTTTTTTTGAAGAAGAAAGAAAAGGAAAAAGAGGGAAGATGGGAGAAGGGAATAAAAAGAAAGGAAAAACAATAAATAGTTTAGCTTGAACATTTCAGACAGTAAGCAATATTAACAAACGTGGTTAAGCAACAATTTGTATACATTGTTATCACTCTGACAGTGTTGCAAAGTTGGTTTTGATTTTTTTGTTAGTTGTTTTTTTTTCTGTTATCTGTGGGTCTTGAATTCTTTGAATGGGAAAATGTATTAATCACCTTTTCCTCACTAGAACATAATACCTGCTGCCCATAAAGGAGCAAGAGGCGAGGTTTAGTGTGGCTCACGGTTTCGAAGGAGGCTGGTGGCCTCCAGGGGACAGCTGCTCACCCCCCGGCAGCCAGGAAGCAGAGGGAGGAGCCAGGTCACACCCACAGTGACCCACCCCTTTGACAGGCCCCACCTCTAGTAGCAGTCGCCTGTGAACTCATGACTATGGCACCCCTGTGGTTCGATCACCCACTGACAGCCCCATCTCAGAGTGCGGAGACTTGGCCTACACTTTACAACTAAGCCGCGAGACACTGCACAGTAGTTCCATGGTATCAGGATGGTAGGGAGGAGGGATTTTTTTTAACCTATAAAGATTTTGTTTTATCTCTGCTCCAAGATACCTTTTTGGGGGGATAGTATTGGAGACTGAACCCAGAGCCTTCACACTGAGCTACATCCATTGTCAGCCCTTTAAAAAATTTTTAATTTTGAGACAGGGTCTTGCAAAGTTGTCCAGTCTGGGCTTAAATTTGTAGTTGTCCTACTTCAGCCTCCCAAATGCTGGGATTACAGGTGTGTGCCCCCTTACTTACCTGCTGATTTCTTTTATTACTGCATCAATAAGGTAATGCTTGTTTTTCTTGATATAGGGGAGAATTCCTACCATTACCAGCTGTTTCGTTTACCTTTTTAAATAAATTTAAAATATCTGAGACTTTAAATATTTAAAGAATTCTTCAGAATTATGTTTGATATATTTTCTGTATTTATTATAAATGTTAATTAATAGTACTAACATTAATTAAATGCAATTGTGTGCCTGAAATAAAAATTTAAACAACTCTCCACTTTGATTTGTATATAGAGACCTCTCTTAGGTACATAAATATACATATTTTTACTTTTTGGCAACCCCTACCTTGCAAATACGTATGCATTTGTCCTCAGTGACATTATTCACACCCGTGCTGAGGGAAAATAAAAAGTCTTTCTGTCATGAATTTAATTAGTGGGGTCTTCTTGGGTGGACTTACAGGATAATTAACTTTCATACCCAGAAACAGAAATGGCTTTTCCTTTCCAAAACAACTAGTTTGTTTTTTCCTCATGAGTTCTATGAATTATGAACCTGGTCATCCTTTTGTCTTTGTTGCTAGGAAGCTTCTTTTTTTTTGGTACTAGGGATCAAACTCATGACCTTTCGCTTTCGAGGCAGGTGGCGAAACCACTGAGCTAAATCCCCAGCCCTAGCACAGAAATTTAATGTATTGTGGGTCATTAACCCTACCACTTATCTTCACCTTTTCTTATTTTTTTCCTTGTTTACTCATTTTTATTTGATCATACCCTGTGCATATTGTTTCCTGTTTATTTGGATCTAAGCAGCATAAAATAAGAAAATAGTTACTGTGAGTGTCAGTTCACAAGTAATTTCCTTCAGTAGTTCCACTGGTAACTTTTTAAAAGTCTATGAGAACTTTGTTGAAATTTAAAATTTTCTTTTTAAACTTGAGTATTTATAGCTCTGTAAGCCATCTCAGATTCTTTTTAGGAATAAGGCCAAGGCATAGATAAATACAATATATATATAATATATATGTATACGTTATTTTATATATAATCATATAGATATTCTTTTGGGGGATTACTGGGGATCAAACCTAGAACCTTGCGCTTGCAAGGCAGGTGGTGGCACCACTGAGTTAAATCCCTGGCCCCCACGTATATATTCTTTACAGTAATTTCAATCTTATGTTTGTCTTTTTTTTTGGTACTGGGGATCAAACTCAGGTTCTTGTGCTTGCGAGGCAGGCGGTGGAACCACTGAGCTAAATCCCCGGCCCAATGTTTGTCTTTTAATAGAAACATTTTACTGAGGTCTTCTCTATTTACTTTTCCATTATTTAAGGGCCCAATTTAATGAGGAAGGTACAAACCTGACTTTGGTTGCTTCTTGAGAAATAACTTGCCAGGCACTTTAAACATCATGACTGTGTATTACACTCAGCCATTCTGTTACATGCGTGTAGATAGGTACTCACTCCAACACATTCTAAGTATCTGAGGTATGTATCATATCAGTTATCATCAGAGGTATCATATTAGCTATATCATGACATGTTTTTACTATTATGAAAAATAGAAAATAGAAAAGTCAACACTAGTCACAGACAATAGTCATATTTTTTTGGTAGCACTACAAAGTTATGATTTTTTATGTTCATTTTCCCTAGGTTTTGATCGGAAATCTGTAATTCATTCCAAATCTTCTCCTGAGATTCTGCTGAGGTTTGAAAGTGGGCCTAGTGCTGTTATACACTCTTTGCTTGCAGAAAAAAATGGATTTCTACAATGCCATATAGAAAATTTTAGTACTGAGTTTCTTACATCTTCTCTTATGAATATTCAACATTTTCTGGAAGATGAAACTGTTGCAACAGTAATGCCAATGAAGATACAAGTTTCTAACACAAAAATAAATTTAAAAGTATGTTAAAGGATAATTTTATATTTTCATGTTATTAATGTTCACACTGCCTACTTCAATTTTGACTCATGTCTAAGACTGTCTTCTCTGTAACATACCCTGTATCAACCCTGTATTAAAATGAACTTAGCAATCTTTATGATGAATGATGGAGATCCTTCTTACAAGTTAGAAAATGTCAAAATAGATCAGGTAGTCTTGCTGTGTCACCTAACACATGTATAGATATACAATATTTCTAACTTATTAAAAATACTGATGTAATGCTGATTTTAAATGATTATTTTAATTTCATCATTTACTTTAATAAGAACATGCCAATACTGTTTCTCTTCCTGTAGGATGACAGCCCTCGGAGTGGTACAGTATCCCTTGAACCAACTCCTGTAACTGTGCATATTGATCGTCTTGTTGTAGAGAGAAATGATGATGGCTCATTTCGTATCAGAGGTATATGAAAAATAAACAAATGTCTTAAAATTTGAAGTTAAATTATTTATGTGCTGATTGTTTCCTTTTGCTTATTATGTACTTTGTGTTTATGTATGTATGCAGTAATAGATGACTGCTGGACACTTTCAGTATATTGTAATAAAATATCTATGAGCCAGACACAGTGGTGCATGACTGTCATCCTAGCTGCTCAGGAGGCTGAGGCAGGAGGATTATGAGTTTTATGCCAGCCTGGGCAACTTAGAGTCTGTCTGAAAAAATAAAAAGGGCTTGGGGTGTACCTCAGAGGTAGAGTGCTTGCCTAATGTGTGTGAGGCTCTTGATTCAATCTCTAGCATCACAAAGGAACAAGAAGGGAATTAGGGAGGGAAGGAATAAATCTGTATATAGACCCTGGAAGTAACTCATCTATAGTTGGCTTAGCACCCGTTTTGCACATGTGTTTTGAACAATAGTGAGAGAGGCTTTCATGGCTTCCATGCCTCTTGATCTCACTTATGTCTCTTCCTTGAACTCTTTTAGCTTTATTTCTCACTCTCCTTTCACATATACCCACTTACCTGATGTACTCCTTGGCATGAAACTTGCCATATAGTTTTCCATCTCTCTGTTTCTCTTTGCCTTGTTATTCCTCATTAGAATTGCTCACTGGTGTGTAAATATTTTGTTTGTTTACTTAAATATTTATTCATGTTTTGGTGCAAGGTATTGAACCCCAGAAACCCTTGTCTGTCGCTGAGCTCTGTCTCCATCCTCCTGTGTAAATTTTGCCCATCCTTCCAAGGTTATCCCAAGCTTTTCCTTTTCCGTGAAGCCTTCTTTCTAATCTCATGAGTTCTAATGCTTACGGTGGGTGCTTTTCTGTAGGTAGTTACTTATAGTATGTTGCTAGATATTTAGTGTTGTGGCCCCCCCATACCAGGCAGGAATCAAACTCAGGACCTCACACTTATCAGGCAGGTGTGGTGCCACTGAGCTACACCCCTGGCCTGATATTTACTTTCTTAATGTTTGTTTCTGCACACAGATTTTAAGATGTTTAACGTATGGATCTTACATCTTGTAAGGTAGTATGGAGTAGCAGAGAGAATGTAAATCAGTAGACCTGGATGTTCTCATCCTCACTATTTTAGTAGCTTATTGAGGATGAAACATGAGTGACTACGTATATTTAACTGCTGATCAAAAAACCTCATGAAATGTCGGAAAATACGTAAAAACATAAAGGTCATTTAGGAGTACTTCAAAAGAATAAGTCCATTGGGAGGTCAGAAATTCTTAGAAGAAAGCTGGGCATGGTGGCACATTCTTGTAATCCCAGACTCGGGAGGCCAGGGCAAGAGGATTCCAAGTTCCTGTCCAGGCTGGCTTACGTAGCAAGTTCAAGGCCAGTTTGGGCAGTATCACAAGACTGTCTCAAAAAACCAACCACCAAATAAACAAAACTAGAGAGGCGAAACCAGATTAGCCTGTAGCTATAAACCCATGAAAGGAGACTGTTGCTGAGGTAGGAGCATTTTGTGAAGAATACTTAATTCCTCATCACTTGGGACCAACTGGAGACAGACAAGGAGTCAGACCGACAAAGGTCAGAACATCAGCTTCATTACTCATAAAGGCTCAGGTGGAGACGGCAAGGCGAGTCTGTGAAAAGAAAGGCTTGCTGCCTGGCTCTGGCCGGTTGCCTGCTTTCAGTTCCCCAAACCGGGTCTCCCTTACAGAGAAAGCAGAACAGAATGCACCCTTTCTGCACCAAAGGCAAACACCAGAGTGAGGACAGGGTAAGTCACACATACAGAGCCCCTGTGCTTTCTGATCTCATCAACTCCAGAAGTCATAGCTTCTTCCCTAGGAAGAGGTGAGAAAGGAGGCCAAGCAAGTGGAGGAGAACTGTTAGGGAAGTTCCTCCTCAGAAAGAGACTATCCCGTCAACAACTGAGGTCAGAATGGGACCCTGAAGCAACAGCATCTAGACAGTGCTGTTTGAGATCCTGTGTTCCTGCCAAGTAGGGTCAGTTCTGTGGCTGCTAATTCCACTTCAGCGATTCCACTCCTAAATACGTACCTGAGAAAAACTTGTACAAGAAATAGCTCTGTCATGGAAACAACCCAAATGCCGTGAACATAAAGCGTGGTAGATTGATGTAATGGAGTATTATTCAGCAATAAAAAGACTGACATAGTGGTACATTTCACAACGTGGATAACTTTGCAAACATTATGCTAATTGAAAAGCAGTCACAGAAGGACAAGAGAATTATGATTCTGTTTAACGAAGTGTCCAGGAGAGGCACATGGATAGAAACAGGAAGTAAAGTAGCGCTGCCCTAGTTCTAAGGGGGATGAGGCTGGGTGGGTGGGAATGGGAAGGGACTGAGAAGGCACTGAGAGTGGGTGTGGGGCTTTCGGGCTGATGAAAATGTTAAGTGATTATGGTGATGGTTGCACCATTCTGTAGGCATAATGAAAATCATTGGATTGTACACAGTATGTGTGAGGTATATGAAGTCTGATTTGTTTTAGTCAAGCTGGTTTGGGGGATTTTTAAAAGTCTAGTTTTAGAACCATGAGACATCTGGGAAACCAGGCCCACACCCCAAACCATAGCAGGGTTTCATGATGGGAAAGGCTGCTGCTTGCCCTGGACAGTAGGTTTTGCAGTTTACAGTGCTGCTGTTACCGCTTCACAAATTCAGCTTTAGTGTAACTCTTGCAATCGATGCTGTTTCCACTGTTTTACCAGGAACTTGACCTTTCAGCTGCTGTCATGCTACTGCCTCCAGAATGAGAAGGAATTTACTGCATTTCCTTCCCTTTTCCTGTCACTGGTATCTGAGGAAAACGTAGGGTGGGTGTAGTCTTACAGCCAACAGCAAAGTCATGTCCATGGAAAGGAATCTGGGAAACTGAATAACTAGTTTTTTTCCAACATTTACTGAAGGAAGCAATTTTTACTCTACAAAATGTAGAAAGTATGAAATTCTTCAAACACAGAAAAGTATTGAGATGATAGCCAAAATGAATGGCAGACAGCCTACAAAAACCATTATGATTAGGAACAATAAATTTTCATCAGACATCCCACTGGTGACAACAGATGCTAAAGGATAGTTAATGCCTCAGAGTTCTATGTCAGAATAAAGTGAACCTAAATTTGCATTAATTCATTCACTTATTTATTGGCTTTTTGAAACAGAGTATCTCTATATAGTTCAGTCAGGTTGGCCTGGAACTCGCTGTGTAGACCAGGGTGGCTTCAAACTCGTGGCGATCCTCCTGCCTCAGAATCCTGAGTGTTAGAATTACAGTGGGCGTTACCATGCCAAGTCCTAAGCTTTTATTTTAAGGCACAATAAAGGTAATTTTTTAAAATGCAGAGAACTACTTAGTCAAAATGAAAAATCAGTGAGGAACAGCAGTAAGTAAAGAAACTAGTAAAACTTGGATTTAAGTCTGAATAATAATGTATAAGAATACAATTTTCTTAAAATATGCAACTAAAATTCCAGATGATGTCAGCAGGAGAGGTTGTAGTGGGCAAAAAGGGGTGGGCAGGATAGGGAAGTAAAATTATACTAAAGTTTCTGTCTTTTTGGGAGCTGGGGAAGATAACACTAGACTTTGATTATAGCAATGTGAGCTTAAATAGTATTGTTAACATTACATACATTTGACTTTAGCCTTAGATGACCCAAAATAATAACTTTTGAACAACCAGGGGATGGGAAAAACTGGATCAAAAATATCCAATCAATTCAACAAAAGACAGGAAATGGAAAAAAAGGTATAAGAAGAAAGCAAGGTAAATAGAAAACATTAAGTTAGATGATAGGAATAGTCATTAGAGTACATATGAATGATTTAAATTCTCTTGTTAAAAGACAGTGGCACTAAGGTAGAGTTAAAAAAAGATTCCAAATGTATATGCTGCGTAGAAGATATTTTCTCAGAACAAATGATACACCAACAATGAAAATAGAGTAGTGTTAAAAAAATAAAATATATACACACACACATACATACATTTACGTACACACATATACACACAAGACAGATACTAATAAGGAAATGAGTGTTAGGAGAAATTGAATTTAAAACTGAAAGTATAAAATGGACAGGCAGATTTCATATTGATAAGAGACATCCAGATACCTGCTCTATCATAACGTTTATCAGTCTAGTAGCATAATTTTACAAATATAAAGCAAACTTGTTGAAATAAGAATAAATGGAATCATCATACTGACATCATATTTAGAGACTTTTACCTTCCCCTTAGACTACATACTCATAAAAAATGTTTATCATGGAGAGTTTTAATAGCATGCTTAACCATCTTCTAAAGAGAGATCTCCTTATCTTTGGATTCAACAGACAGGAAATTTTAAATACACATGAAACTTCTATTTATTGAGTCTCAAAGAAAATTTCAACAGATTTCAAATCATAGAGTTTATGCAGGACACTTCTCTACTTTCAGTGTAATAATGTTTGTCACTGACACAGTGGTGTAGCAGAAAACTTTTGTTTATAGTTGGCAAATTTTAATGTATCATTTGAAGTAATTCTGAGAATTGTTGGCAAAGAAATGTTCCCTGCTCTAAAATGCCATCATTCTAAATAATTCTTGATATTTCTCACATCACAATCTTAGTGTCTGACTTGCTAAATAATTACTACTTGCTAAAACAATTATTTAAGTCATATGTTTATAATACCAGTTAACATCCATATTTAGAGAAAAACAGAATTAAGCATCATTTTGGTGAGTAAAAACTAATATAAAAATCAAGTTTCTTCCCTGTTTTTTTCCTCCAACATTTAAAAAAAATCTATAATATACAGTATAGTCAAGCACATATTTTATCAGTAATTAACTCTATTTGATATAGTAGCTGAAAGCAGATTAGTGTTACAGAAATTATATATTTGTATGAAGAGAAGTTCAATTTAGATTTGTCTTTAACATTGAATTTAGCATATAAATTGTGGATGTA